TCTGATCTCTTCATTTCATAATGTCTCTGACCAGCTCTTCTTCATCTCTTCTTATTACGTGTCCATACTATCTCAACCTTGCTTCCCTCACCTTCTCTATTATGTCTACCACCCCACATCTTCTTCTGATCTCTTCATTTCATAATGTCTCTGACCAGCTCTTCTTCATCTCTTCTTATTACGTGTCCATACTATCTCAACCTTGCTTCCCTCACCTTCTCTATTATGTCTACCACCCCACATCTTCTTCTGATCTCTTCATTTCATAATGTCTCTGACCAGCTCTTCTTCATCTCTTCTTATTACGTGTCCATACTATCTCAACCTTGCTTCCCTCACCTTCTCTATTATGTCTACCACCCCACATCTTCTTCTGATCTCTTCATTTCATAATGTCTCTGACCAGCTCTTCTTCATCTCTTCTTATTACGTGTCCATACTATCTCAACCTTGCTTCCCTCACCTTCTCTATTATGTCTACCACCCCACATCTTCTTCTGATCTCTTCATTTCATAATGTCTCTGACCAGCTCTTCTTCATCTCTTCTTATTACGTGTCCATACTATCTCAACCTTGCTTCCCTCACCTTCTCTATTATGTCTACCACCCCACATCTTCTTCTGATCTCTTCATTTCATAATGTCTCTGACCAGCTCTTCTTCATCTCTTCTTATTACGTGTCCATACTATCTCAACCTTGCTTCCCTCACCTTCTCTGCAATGTCTACCACCCTACATCTTCTTCTGATCTCTTCATTCCATAATGTCTCTGACTGTCTTGCCTAAACTCTATTTTATAGATTTTGAATTTCTACAAGCTTTGAAAGACGGCATAGAAACATGATAAAACCCCAACAGATATCTGGAAAAGAGCGAGACTTAAGCGGACGTGACAAAAAACTGCCACTATTATCACAGTTTCACCTCACGTGTAAAAACTATGGATTGTTGTTGGTAAACAAAGCCAGGGACACGAGAAAAACAAAGTAAAACTAGTCTCCCATTATTAGAGACTGTTTTTTAGTCGCGCCCACGTCGCAGATTTAGTGCAACTTAAGCTCCCTAATGTCAATTCTAGAAAAACGCACAGACCACAAATAAAATGATTGGTTTAGATGTTTATTATGTGCAATGGTTTTTGTTTCCATGATCAAGTGAGGCGGAGAGTGTATGAGAGTTGGCGGTCACGCGACCTTGGTTCGCTGTTCTTAATGCTTTCCCAACATGTATTCTATTGAAGTTAAAACAACACTCATCAAGCCTTTATTTTGTTAACCTAGAACTTCAAATATCCTCTGTAACAATGCGTGACTACCAACTCTCATTCTCTTGATCAGGGCTCGGGTTTTGTTAAAGGAAGGCCAGTCGATGATATTATACTCTAGTATAATCTAGTAATGTCTGGAAAATATCAGACATGCTTTCTTCCCATCACGAATATTCATGGCGTTTATTCTAGCTAGTTCGTCACTGGATTGTTGTTCTTGTGTGATCCGGCAGATGCTTGACGCATTAAGACGTATTTCTAGCATAAATATCTGCATTGCTATCATTTCTGTTCAACAACGCAGTAATTTCGATTCTGCTATTGTATTAGAAACTATTTATATTTTGACAAACCGAGTCAATGTTTTGCATGAAAGACTTTTAAATGATGCAAATACGCCTCTTCACGCAAATTATTTCAAATGCTCGGCATGACATGCACAGTCAGTTAAAAATAGTCTATTTCATTTATAAAACAAAGTCTTGAACCTGTCAGAAATGCATGGCAGGCTCTCTATATTTTAACACACATCACTTGTGACTGGCAAGCTAACATCACATGGAAATCACAATTGATGTGACGATATCGGCCGGCCTGTTTTATTTCATGTATTAATTTATATAAAGGAAACACAAAGAATTCATGAATAAATTATATTTAAACTCTAATTGTTAGAACAACATATATTTACAATTGTATTGCACGCGTCATTCTGACAGAACTGTCAAAGAGAAAGATCACAGTGTGAACAGCAGTAACTCTGAATAAAGCTTACAAGGCGATTATACTGTATATACAACAATTAACATGGCAATCGTGTTCTCTGTTCGTGTTGTTCTGATGTTTTCAGTATTGCTACATTCAGTCTCGACGACAAGATTTCTACCTTCAATGATTTGGGATAACGTCAGTCCACTGTAAGTGATAAATAATAAATCATAATAAAGCCAGTCAAGGTTTTATAATAAACTTGTCGTCGTTTTTGTGTGAACTGAAGCTTCAAAGTACTTCCTCACGCGAGAGAAGGCATTTTGTATGCCGGTCAATGAACATATGAAACCGTCTAAGACTTTCTGATCTTCTTCGAAGACACAAACCACGAGAGCTTAATGAAGAATATTACTTTATGACAGAAGTTCATGTGATAGTTTCTTGTTACAAAAGCTTTAGCTAAATACAGATATAATATCCATTTCTTCTTCAGTTAATTGTATATAATGATCGAGTACATATTCTCAGCGTAGCTATAGTCGTCCTCAGACCTCAGGAAAATACACCGTTGTCATAGATTCTTCCTATCCTAAGCTTCAAATACTTAGCTCGCAGCTTACGTAATATATAGAATAGACAATTTTTGTGACATATTTGTATTTACGTAGCCACACGATACTTTAAGGTAAAACGAACCGAACAAAGATCTTTCCGCGAACAATTTTGCTTGCGAAGATTTATATTGATCATACAGGAACCAAGTTCTTGGAGCCAGGAAAAGGCAACACTACAAAATCATTATATCTATCATCCCCACTCGTATGACTGTACCTTTCAAAATTTTCAGTAAAGATCCAAATGAGTTATATAAAGTATACATATAATCATATGACTTGTGATCTTTCAATTTACCTTAAGTTGAAATCGCAAAGAGTACGCTAATTCCTGAGTAAGCATTTAGTTAAATGTTTAAGGTCCATTGCAACAAAATTATTAGAATTGAATGCGATGTTTCCGTTTAAATATCAATATTAGAGTTTAATTAAAGAATTGAACGGGTTTGGACAAGTGCGATTTCTCAAACAAAGATGTGTAGCTAATATATAGCATTAAACGCCTGATGGCAGTGTTGGTATAGTAGGCTATTTAAGCTGTCTCACGCGAGCTTGTATATTCACGATGGCCACAGCTGGTTTGAAGCTTTTTATCTAAATTGCGAGGATAGACAGCAAGACGTAGATTAATTTAATTACTTAAATGGCTCACTCAGTCTCAAGTCAAATGGTCATTTAGAAAACATATTATAAGCGACTTCATAAACGCGTGTTTGCATTATACTTTAACGTTAATTTAGGAAAATGACTACACGCGATCCTACGTGCGTTTTAATTCTGCCTACTTTTCAATTCTAAAAAGCCTATGTTTGCACATTTTTTTTATAAAATTCATATACATATTTAAAAAATCGCTAGAAAGTTAGAAATGCCTCGAATAGTCTAGTTGCTAAGTGCAGTTGACATAATGGATGCAATAATTTCAAGCGAAGTCACATATAGACATCTCTTTGTTGCTAGGTCTTTGAATATATCTAGACCGCATCTACGCCCTTAACATCCTCATTGTCTTTGAAAGAACTGTTTTCAACAGATTAGATTGCTTTCGAAATATGATAATATAGAATGAAAACGATATCTATATGGGCCTATACAAAGCGTCGTCTCTGATGTGACATTGTTCGACAGGTTTCTCTGCTTTTGCTTTGCAATGAATTGAACCCATACCATCAAACTGTTCCCCACTGTACCAACAAAGCCTCCGAAATTTCGTATGAAAATGAAAATGATATATCAAAACACATTGTTTCAGATGATAAGTGCCGCAAAACAAACTATATCGCTATATACATGCGATAAACTGACACGGGAGCTACCATATTGTGCATTGTTAGATTGTCTTCTAAACCTGTAAATCTTATAAGCTGTTATAAGTTGAAAACTACGAGAATAAAATCCATCATGAGCTATAAACGACAAGGGGAATTTCATAAGAAGAACAAATATTTGTACCACCAACTAAAATAAATATAGAAAGCATTTTTACCACGCTTGGACTCTGCCCCACGGAGTGGCATTGTTTTTAAAACTTCTTTCAAAACTTATATACAAGCTGTTCCCAGCTGGAAACTAAATGTGAAAAAGCCATGAAAAACAACGAATAATTTAAAACGAAAGAGTGTATAAAAAAATACACGTTCTGCGGAATTTTTTCTTTCGTATTAATTGAGCAATTGTGTGCGGACCGATCGAGAAACGTCAAACTTAATTCAATAAATTCAATTTAATTAAATTAAAAAGCGTTTGTTTGGCCGACATAATCTTATTGTTTCATTCCAAAGCTGTCTCTAACTCGATGACCGTTACGAACAATTTGAACAATGTACATAAAGCCGCCAAATATTCAATTTTTCAACCATACATTCTACCATCAGAGCGCTGCATGCACCGAAACCACAGGGCCGCAGTCCCTGCCAGAGAGCCTATATATTATATACTTGCATTTATCACACTGACTGCTCCTGACTAGGTAGACTGTGTATAATGTATAAAAAAATTTAATGTATAAAAATATTTACATTCGAACATTCCATCTAAAACACCATTCAACTTTGTATACTGAGCCTATAATTTTGTAAAAACAATATAGATGTCTCTGCCAGATATAATTCGATACATTTGTTTTGTCTTTGGAAAAATAAATAAAGGGGATATACTTGAACAATATTTAACAATTATTGAATGAGAACGCGTATGAAGAATTAACAAGGCCGAAGCTTGTGTTAGCCTCACTTGGAGAATATATCAGTATCGATATATGCACTCGATATATATAATCTGCCTGAGTACAAATCCCACCAGGACATCAATTGGAGAAGATCATCCAATATATATAATCTGCCTGAGTACAAATCCCACCATGATCAAGTAGTTTTCTACTTGTCTGGTGTGGACATCACTTGGAGATCATCATCCAATATATAAAATCTAACTGAGTACAAATCCCACCATGATCAAGTAGTTTTCTACTTGTCTGGTGTGGACATTACTTGGAGAACATCATCCAATATATATAATCTACCTGAGTACAAATCCCACCATGATCAAGTAGTTTTCTACTTGTCTGGTGTGGACATCACTTGAAGAACATCATCCAATATATAAAATCTAACTGAGTACAAATCCCACCATGATCAAGTAGTTTTCTACTTGTCTGGTGTGGACATTACTTGGAGAACATCATCCAATATATATAATCTACCTGAGTACAAATCCCACCATGATCAAGTAGTTTTCTACTTGTCTGGTGTGGACATCACTTGAAGAACATCATCCAATATATAAAATCTAACTGAGTACAAATCCCACCATGATCAAGTAGTTTTCTACTTGTCTGGTGTGGACATTACTTGGAGAACATCATCCAATATATATAATCTACCTGAGTACAAATCCCACCATGATCAAGTAGTTTTCTACTTGTCTGGTGTGGACATCACTTGAAGAACATCATCCAATATATAAAATCTAACTGAGTACAAATCCCACCATGATCAAGTAGTTTTCTACTTGTCTGGTGTGGACATTACTTGGAGAACATCATCCAATATATATAATCTACCTGAGTACAAATCCCACCATGATCAAGTAGTTTTCTACTTGTCTGGTGTGGACATCACTTGCAGAACATCATCCAATATATAAAATCTGAGTACAAATCCCACCATGATCGAGTAGTTTTCTACTTGTCTGGTGTGGACATCACTTTCAGAACATCATCCAATATATATAATCTACCTGAGTACAAATCCCACCATGATCAAGTAGTTTTCTACTTGTCTGGTGTGGACATCACTTGGAGAACAT